TTTTTTGAGAAATCAAATTGGGAGCAATCCACGGCGATCAAAAGCCCTAATTTTCGATTGAAAGATTGTACTTTTGAAGAATGAGTCGTGGAAGTGGAGGCGGGTACGATCGGCACATAACGATCTTCTCTCCTGAAGGTCGTCTCTACCAAGTTGGTAAGTATTTGTATTAATGGAGGAATCCAATCTCGCATTTAGTCTCAATTTTGTGTCTTGAGTTTGCTCGGGTGTTGTTTCTTTAAGTTGCCTTGTTAGAAATTAGGGTTAATGTAGCTCTGTCTGTGCAAATTGAGCAGAATATGCTTTCAAAGCTGTGAAGGCTGCCGGAGTAACGTCGATTGGCGTTCGTGGGGCAGATTCAGTTTGTGTTGTCACTCAGAAGAAAGTCCCGGTGGGTTGTCTTTCTTGTTTATTTGTACTTTTGTGAATGTAATACTTCTATTTATGTGGGTTGTTTTTCATCTAATCGATAATGTGTGAGCAGGACAAGCTTTTGGATCAGACAAGTGTCACCCATTTGTTTCCCATTACCAAGTATCTTGGCTTATTGGCTACGGGCATGACGGGTATCTTTCTGCTTTGACTTATTGTTTCATAAACACGGACTTTGGTTGCACATTCTAATGCACCTCACTTGGAACTGTGCTGCTGTGGGGTTTGTCTCTTTGGTATATAAAACCATTATTGGAGAACAACGCCAATGATTTAGGTGGCTATTTGTATTGGGTGTCTTCGTGATAGTTTATGAACTAAATGTACCGGAGTTATTGTTGTTTGTTAGAGGTCAATGGATACTTAACTTGGAAGGAACTGTGCTGTTGTGGATAGCTTTGGTAGACGAAGCCATTATTGGAGAACAATGCAAATGATTTAGGTGGCTGTTGGTTTTGGGTGTATTCGTGATAGTTTATGAACTGAAATGTATCAGAGTTATTGGTGTTTGTTAGAGGTCAATGGATGTGTTTTCAGTTGTAAAGAACTTGTTACATGAGATAGGTGTAAATTAGGAGCCCGCCACCTAGGCATGCATTATCATGTCTGAAAGATGCTGAAGATGATATTTACTTTGGGAAAGACTGGGAGCTTGATATTCCTAATTCACCTTTTTATAACAATATATGATTTAGAGTTTTTCATTTGCAACCCAGCTGATGCAAGAACTCTGGTTCATCAAGCGAGGAATGAGGCTGCTGAGTTTCGCTTCAGATATGGATATGAAATGCCCGTTGACTCATTGGCACGATGGTATCTTTATTTTGTCAGTGAAATACTTTTTTAAATCTGCTTTGTTCTCTTATGTTTAAGAAGCACTTGAATTTGCCTACAGCTGTATCTTGTAGTGATTAATAATGCCCACACATAAATTATGTAATATTTGAATGTGTGTGAGATACAGTCTTGCTAAGTTAACAAAATCATATTTACTTTTAACATTCTGCATAAATCAATGATTGGTGTAATTCTTCGCATATTTAGTTTAAGTGTATCTGCTGAAATGCAGGATTGCTGATAAGTCTCAGGTATACACGCAGCATGCCTATATGAGACCACTTGGCGTAGGTTTGTTTCTTTTCACTTCTTTCGCCCAAATGGATGGTTTCAATGTTTCTTTTCCAGATGATAGATTTCTCTATATTAATTGCATTTTCTTTTGGTTTAAAGTTGCGATGATATTGGGTATTGATGAAGAAAAAGGTCCTCAGCTCTTCAAGTGTGACCCTGCTGGTCATTTTTTTGGCCACAAGGTAATGAAGAATATTATGTTCTTGAGAATGGAGATGGAGCATCTTCTCAGTTTATTTGTATCTTGTCATTTTTTTTTATTATTTTTTTAAATTTCGTTTATGTCATTTATGTTATTTGTGTGCGGAACTTGCAACTCTATTTGGATACAAATGCATGGGGTTTGTTGATGGAGGAATTTAATTGTGAAACTCCCATCAGTAAGTCCTTTAAGAAAGTTAAGGACGTGCTTGGCTACAAATATATTCGCTCAAAACGTGTTGTTTTGGTTAACAAGGGTTAGTTTTGGAAAGGTGGTATGGTTAGTTGTGAGTGGGATTTTGAGTTTGTATTAAAATAGTATATAAAATAAAACTAGTATTAATGCCCATGTACAACATGGGTGTTGAGTTAATGAATATATGTGTAAAGTTTTTTATGTCTAATACCAAACCTAACTACAGAGCAAAAATAATATAAAAACAACATCACGAAGCATAGATTTTCGCCATGTCAGCATTTGAAGCGTGAGAATCTGCCACCTAAGCTCAACACATTTTGAATTAATATATAAGGAGGGATAATTAAAATTGATTTGATGAAAAAGTAGGAGAGAGATGATATGAAGTGATAGTTAGTTAAAATTATGCGAGTGGATGAATATTGAATTAAATTTGATGTGGTGTATAAGAACGATTGATTGATATTATTTAATTATATTGATAATAGTGGGGTTGGTTAAAGTTGAGTTAGATTTTAAGCATGAATTGAGTCTATTTATAAACAAACACACCCTAAGAAACTTGGTTTCATTGTGATTCTGAAGTTGAGACACATGGGAATTTCTGGGTGTTTCCTTATGATTGTATTTAATTTACTTCTCAGAAGATTTACTTCTGGGCGTTTTCTTATGTGTGAATTTGCTTGTCTTGAGATCCTCAAAATGATGTCAAATGATTTTTTGTTTCTTGTTTTTATTTCTCTTTTCTTCTTCTTTTTTTTTTTCT